GTTCTGCCTTCGATCATAACAATCATCCGTTCCTCCCTTTCCAGCCCCTTTCTTCTCCGTGGCCTCCCCTTGCTGACATGACATTCCTCTGTCCCCGCCGGAGTGGGAACGACAGCGGATGGGCTGGCACCCCGGATTGATTCGGTTGCCCATTTCCTCGGATGCGTGAGGTAGCGCTGAAGTCGGCGTGGAGTGCAGACGTTCTTGCCGTTGTTCAAGATCGCTCGCCCAAGCAGCGGCTTCGAGATTGCCAGTTTGCATGGTCTGTGGTTGAAAAGCGCCCGTGCTGTTCTGGCCCAGCGGGCATTCGGTAGCGCGGCGGTGGGGTTGGTTCGTGCAGCGCTTTTTGATCTGCAATTCGAAGCGCGGCTGCGTGCGCACTGGAACCAGCGCAATGGCACGCGGTTGCCTCTTGCTTGGTGTCATTTATGGCATGGCCCAACCCTCTCAGGGATCTCAGTTGTTGCAAGGACACGGCTGGGCGGGAGTGCCTGGCGTTTGAGTGGTTATCGAATTGTCGTCTCCATGTATCTCGGACAGGCGCGTTGTGATAGGCGCGTTTACTAGAATCCAAGCTTCGCAACCCAGTTCTGCAGTCGCGCCCCCAAGACTCAAGACATCTTCCCACTCCGTAGCACATTTGAGTTACAAGGTGGGCCAGGGGATCGCCTGAGGCTTCCCCACCGCTTACAAGCCTGAATGTTTATACGAAAAGACGACGGATGAACGGATGGGGGGGCAGCACGTTTGAACATTGCGGAATTTGTGAAGTTCGCCGTTGCGCCGTTCATACTCGTTTCAAAAGTTATCAACAGTTACACAGAAGGACGGCGGATCCTTTTCGAAAATACAGAAGTTCCGAATATTCCCGGCAGTTACACGGTGGAGGGGTTACCACAATGTGGTTATCGCGAAGTGTTGCGCCAATTCGCTCACGAAGGCAAGGTTCGGTTCGGTCCAGTGCTATGTGCGTTCGGGTCGGTTCGGCCAGCCTGGTTCAGACCACAGTCCTGTTCGATCCTCCCGGGCTAGGTCGGGACCCAGAAATCCGACGACATGATATTTCCCGATGCACGCTGGTCGTTGAAAGTGGGTACTCTTGGATTTCCAGATCCCAGTCTAATTGAGGCACTTTCCTGCTTCAAAGATCGAGTCTTCGTCAGAGGGCGGGCAGAAACCCAATCTACTTCCAACACCTTCTTACTTCATGATTCGACCCATTTCTCCTGACCGGCGTGTATGTTGCCCATGAGTGTCCGACCTTTTCACCGGAGACAGCTTCCGTCCCGGACCTATTCTTGGTTACCACGAGGCCCGAGATCGAAGGAATCACGACGTCGAAGGTCCGAGGGCAAGCGGTGAATCGATTCGGCTTGTCGTGTTGGGCCGTTCGGTTCGGCTGGTTCGGTTCGGCCGCGGCACCGCGTCGGTGAGGAGGAAAAGCCAGGGGGGACGAGGCGAGAAGGGGGGGCCGGACGCCCTCCCAGACCTCCAATGTATCGAAAAAGCAGCACGGCGTGTTTTACGCGTGTTCGGTCTCTGACCGCCAAACAAAGGCTGAGGATGGAAAGCTGGCCCTAGAGAGGGTCGTGATTTCAAGAGGCCCCGAAAGACAAACAATGGTCGGCTCGCGCCATTAAGAGGAATTTATCTGGATCCCTTAATAACCGATCCCACCCTTACAGAACCAGAACACCTACCTTCGCGACCTTTCTTTCACAGACCCCCTGGCAAAATTGCGAACGCAAGCGTTGACGCGCGTAGTGGGAGGACAGAGTTGCGAAGTAGGAGGAGATGGCAGATGATGATAAGCATACCGATGTTATTGGCGACGGTGATGGAACAGAAATATGGCGGAGAGGGCATAGAGATGGCACCCACGGCGTCGCCCATCAGAAGGGGATGTGCGAGCATGGTGGTGATGGTGAATGTGTAGGCAACAATGATGGCGAAGATACAGATGATGGTGATGATGATGGTGATGATGGTGATGATGGTGATGTTGATGAGGAGGAGGAGGATGGTGATGACTATGATGATGATGATGATGATGATGATGATGATGATGATGATGATGATGATGATGATGATGATGATGATGGTGATGGTGATGGTGATGGTGATGGTGATAGTGATGGTGATGGTGATGATGTTGATGATGGTGGTATGATGATGGTGGTATGATGATAATTGTGATGGTGACGGTGATGATCGTGATGAGGATGGTGATGATGATGGTGATGGCGATGGTGTGGTGATGGTGATGGTGATGATGATGACGACTGACGGTGACGATCATGTTCCATAGGCTCCGTAGTGTACGCTCATCCCTGGAGACCCACATGCAAACACTACGATGTCCTTTCAGTTGAAAGGCGTGGCCAGCGAAGCACAAAATCAGCCGGTGAACAGATCAGCCAGTGAAAGGCCCATTTGGCTGGCGAAGGGCCCCACATGGCCAGCGAAGAGACCAGTGCCAGGTCCAGGAGGGCCCCGGGGCGGCACCGAGGAGGCTGCGTGCTCCATGAAGGCCCACCGTGGTCTTCATGGGGGGTCCAGACGAGCCAGGAGGAGGATGGCCCAAGATGGTCTCCGGTTCGCCCGGTTTCGGTTCCCTGGGTCCAGTGCGGCCAGCCAGTTTGGGTCAGACCGTGGCGGGGTTCGATTCGGCCGTCTCGAGTCGCGGAATGTTTCGTTGCGGCCTGTTCGGTTCGAGTCTGGGTTCTCGATCCTAAGGTCGGTTCGGGACCTTCGCGTGCGTCAGAAACTTCCAGAGGTTGCCCGGATTCGGGGCGGTTCATGTCTTTTTCGGTACCGGAGTCTTGCCCGCTTGGCAGGCTTATGGGCATCTCAAAAGATCGCCTCCCGCAGAGAGAAGGGATGTATGGGTGGGAGGAGGGGACCTGGGACGGGAGGCTATATCATACCGTCAGGAACGTTTGCTTAGCGTGTCGCGCTGGCGGTTCTGGCCCACCACGCTTCGCCGCGACACGCCGAGCACGTCCCAGTCCCCAAGCATCAGCGTCCCGAGCTTACAGTCGGGGCGCTGAAGAAGGAACCCTTTTCGTTGGGGAGGGGCTCGGTGTCCCTTGATTGTTTCAAAGTTTGCCTCGGGTTTTCTGCAGGTTTTCCATGGAAAATCGAGGTTGAACTTATGGGAAAGAGGGGCCTCGTTCCTCATTTAGGGTTCCTTAGGTCAACGCCTCGACTGTATCTCGGCACCCCGTCCCACGAAGCAAGGCGACACGCCATCAGCTTGCAGCACATGGTGTGCCGCAGGGACCGCCGCCGCAACACACTGAGCAAAAGTTCCTGACCGCACTGCAGCCTCGTTTCGCCATCCTGGGTTTTTACTATAGTTCGCGTCTTCTTCCACCCTCCCTCGCTCCATCTCCATCCCTCCTCCCTCGTCACCTCTTCCTCTCTCTCCTTCTGCTCCGTGATATTCCCCCATACGCCTCCTCCTTCTCCTCCTCATCCGCAACGGCGCGGGTCTGCCGCGCGCTGGTGGTCGGTGGGCGGGAGCCGGCAAACACCTCCGCCGCCCCAACAACAATTCGGCGGCTCCCCCGGGGGAGGCCGACTGTCTGAGGCAGCGGTCACTCCCAGGGGGGAGGGGTCTGCCAGCCGGGGCCTATAGTTTCCGTTCCACGGGAGCACGTCGGGCAGCTGCACGAATTTCCACCTCATCCTCCTCCGCCTCCACCTCCTCGTCCTCCTCGTTTTCTTGTCCCTCCATTCTTTTTCCTTCTAACTAAGTTCACCCTGTCGCACCCCGAGGCCATTGTTAGGGGTGGGCCGGGCGCTTCGCCCGAGACTTCTTCATCACTGATGACCCTGAAGCTTAAAATTTGGCAACGGCTTCACAGATGGAGGGTGGGTCGTTTTCAAGATGTGGCTCTCGCCTTAGCGCCGCGCACATTCGTTTTTAAAAACGGCATGACTTTCTCGGATTGAGGGCGGATGGTTTTCACAATGTGGTTCTCGCCTGAGCGCCGCGCACATTCGCATTCGTTTTTTGTGTGCAAGAGCTTCACGGATTGAGGGCGGGTGGTTTTCGAAATGTGGTTCTCGCCTCAGCGCCGCGCACAGTCATTTTAAATGCTTGGTAGAATTTGACGGATTGATGGCGGTTCTTGTTCAAATTGTGGTTCTCGCCATAGCGCCGGGCACATTCCACTTTGAATTTTGCAAGAAGTTCACGGAATGAGGGCGGTTCCTTTTTCAAAATGTGGTTCTCGTCTTAGCGCCCCGCACACTCGTTTTTTAGATACCAAGGGTTTCACAGAATCCCACGATCAACGTACCAGAAATGGTGTTTTGGAAAGATTCAGGATGAAAGGGCGCGACATGTACGTTAAGTCGCGGTGTTGAAATCCCAGCAACGGCATTATGGTTCGATTTTGGATCGTCAAGACGCGAGAGTCAGGTTGATCCGTGGAGTTGGAATCCCGAGAACATGTTTTGGCATGCTCCAGGGTATTCAAAACTTTTGTTTTCCAATGAGGCAGCTCCCTCAGTGGAAAGGAACCGTTGTAGGAGCCTATGAAGGGGGAGCTCGGAGGGAGGGTGTGTTCCAACATCGTTGATGACTCTTGGGTTTACACTGGTCCTCCCCCTCCTCAGCATCCTCCTCCTCCTCCTCCACCCTTCTCCGCATTTAAAGCCCAGCGCAGCAGGACCGCAGCCCACGCGCGCGGGGGCAATCTGCCCCGCGTTGTTCCGGGCCTCTCAGGGGAGGAGTTGGTCCAGGGGCCTGCGCCAGCGCCGGCCCTCGGGGGGCATCGGAGCCGAGCGCCCCGCCGTTCCCCAAGGGGACCTCCGAGGGCGTTTAACCAAGGGACCTTCACCGCTGCCGCTCCGGCTGCGCCCGCGCAGCCGAAGCGGCAGCGGGGGCCGCTCCGGCTGGCGGGGGCCGCTCCGGCTGCGCCCGCGCAGCCGAAGTGGCCCCCGCCCCCCGTCCTCCTCCTCCCCCTCTCCGTCCCCTTCCCGCCCCCGAGGCCTCCGATGCAGCCGTTCTTCGGGAGTCGCACGCACCCGCCTGCTGCCCCCCCGGAGAAAGAAGAAGAGGAGGGTCAGGAGGAGGAGGGGGAGGAGGAGGAGGAGGAGGAGGAGAAGAAGAAGGATAGGAGGAGGAGGAGGAGGAGGAGGAGGAGGAGGAGGAGGATCATCAGAGGGGGCAGCGATAGGGGGTGAACGAGAGGGGAAGACGAGACAGGTTCGAGGCTCAAAGTTTCCGACGTACTCGGCGAGTCTCTGTTGTTTTCCAGCCTCGGGATGCGTTCCAGCGGCTGCGCCTCGCCGAGAGCGTCACGGCGGCCCAGGGGTGACCTGGATCGTCCCGAATGGTCGCCAGATAGGGCGGAGAAGGAGGAGGAGGAGGAGGAGGAGGGACGAGGAGGGGGAAGAGGAGGGACGAGGAGGAGGAGGAGGAGGAGGAAGAGGAGGAACGAGGGTCCTGGCTCTCTGGCGGCACACGCGAGGGTGGCGGGCGACCTTCTCAGACGGCGGGGTGTTTCTTGGAAGAAGGGAGCCTTGGGGGCCTCCAGGAACCTCCGACCCTGGCGCTCTGCTGCACGATGTGCCGTCATGGTGGATAGAGGGGCGGGGAGGCGGTAGAGGGGGAGGGGAGGGGAGGGGAGGGGAGGGGAGGGGAGGGGAGGGGAGCAGCCGGGGGCGAATGGGGAGGACAAGTTGGAGGAGGAAGCGAATGACGAGGAGGAGGACGACGAGCAGGACGAGGAGGACGAGGACGAGAAGGAGATGGAGGAGGAGGAGGAGGAGGACGAGGAGGAGGAGGACGAGAAGGAGATGGAGGAGGAGGACGAGGAGGAGATGGAATAGGACAAGGAGGAGGTTGATGAGGAGGAGAAGGAGGACGAGGAGAAAGGGGCCGAAGCCGAAGAGGGGAAGGAGCAGCAGCAGTTGCAGAAGGTGCGGGCGGGAGCAGGACAGTAGCAAAAGGATGATCAAGAGCGGACACAGCAGCATGGCGATGAGGAGCGGACGCAGCAGGAGCAACAGCGGCGGGAGCAGAGGCAGAAGCAACAGAAGCAGAGAAGGGTTGTTCTTCCTCCTGTCCTCCTCCACCCTTTCTTCATCATAAACATTGCTCTCTGCCGCGCCACCAAGCGTGCCCGTATGCAGGGCTGAGCCTGTCGATTAAGACGCAGGTGCAGTTTTTTGTCTTGAAACCAGCAATCACTTCCAATAATGTAAAAGGTGGAGGACCGCTTCGTTTTCAAACTTCGGCTCTTGCCACGGTGCCAACCCAACCCTCGTCTTCACAATTGCAACAGCTTCAAGGATGGATGGCCTGTCGATTTCAAAATGAGGCCTTCGCTTTTGCGCCACGCACATGGTTAGCCTGCAGCAGCTAAGGCCAGATTTTGACGTTGTAACAGAGCTCCAGTACGGCACGCACATTCGTCTTGAAAGCTTGCAGAAGTTACACGGCTCGAGGATAGGGGGCGTTGCACTTCATAATGGTGTTATCACCTTAACGCCGGGCACACACGTTGAAAGGTTACACAGGCTACAAGGGTTGATGACGGTTCCGTTTGTGTTTGTTGTCGGGGTGTACCTGCAGATTTCTTCCAAGTTACGCATTCGAGGCTTGAAAAAATTGACCAGCTTCACGCGTGGCGGGTGGCTCCATCGTAGAATGGGGCTATCGCTTCAGACTTCCTCGACCGTCAGAACCACACAAAAGGTCGTATAATAATTGCACGGATGGGGCGGCTCCGTTTTCCAAATGGAGTTATCGTTGGACACCCTGTTTGATGTTATAGCCCTACCTTCCAGCATGGTTCATCGAGTGGCCTCAGGCCCATCCTGCCACTGTGCTCTGGTTGAGGGCTTGACAGGGGCCTCCTGGATGCAGTTTTGAAGCCTCGGTAGGGCTGTTTGGGGTCCTGTCTTGGACCTTTTGAGTGCGGGGGCCTCGGAGCCTCTTGGGGGCCTTTTCGGGCGAAAAGCTCGGATGTTCGGTTCGCGTTCCCCCTCTTGGAGCCCGTTTCGGGGCCCACTTGAGCCGTCTTGGGCGCCTCTTGGGCCGTTTGGGGGCCTTTTTGGGCTGCCTCGGGGCCATCCTGTGGGCCTCTCTGTTGGAGCGGTCTAAGGGGCCTTTTGAGACGTCTTGGAGCGTCGGAAGCTCGAACAGTGGCGAACCCGAAAAACATACAAAAATGAAAGGAAAATATTTGCCAATGTGGACCCCAAACAGTGTGTTGATTCTAGCAATCCGCCACCGCGCCCTGAGGCACAGCTGAAGTGGCCTCACGTCCTTGGCCTAATCTCGTAAGCCTCAGTCCTCAATCCTCGGGAACTTTTCTGGGGCCTGGACCCCACATTGCCAAGTCTCGTGGCTCCCGGCGTGCCCGCTGGGGCGCGTCGCGTCTTGTCGCATGATTTGTTCGGACCCAGGAGGGCCCCAAGTCAGTCCTAGAGGGTCCCAAGAGACTTTGATGGGTATGCCCAAAAGGCATGTAATATCTTGCTCGGCCGCCGCCGCCTTGGCTCTGAGCTATCTCCGACCCGGGCTACACGCCCGCGAAGAGACTCGACCGCGCCACAGAAGGTATTCCCCTCTCTAACATCGGTTTGGACGAGCTTGCCTTCGAGCGCGCGAAGAACCTCGACCGGTACTGGGACGACCTCATCTACCTTGCCGAACGCGAGGAGCTTCGACCGCTACTGGGACGACCACGTTTACCACTCCATCGTCGATCGCGCGAGGAACCTCGACCGCTGCTCCAACGGCCTTGTCTACCACTCCATAGTCGAGCGCGCGAGGAACCTCGACCGATACTGCGACAAAGACTACAACCTCCACCACGACTACTACAACCCACGGTTGTGGGGACGCGAACGACCCCTACACTTCCAACGAGGAGCGCTGACCCGCGAACCTCTATCAACCCCCTTCCGCCCATGGAAGTGCGACCAGCACCATCACTACATCACGGCGAGGTTTTTGCTCCTTCGTCTCCTTCAAGCGCTTCCACTACCTGAGCCTTACCATCCACGGGTTCGTGGCCATCGCTACAGGCACGATCATGGTCCACATGATGCGGGAGCGGGAGGAAATCCAAACCAAAGGTCTCACATGGGACCCCGCTGGGAATTCACCGTATCTCGTCTGGACTCGCGAGGCACACGGTTGGCTCAACGTCCAGTCTGGGCGGATGACGCCGTCCCAGGAAGTGGCCGGCTCTTCAAGGCCATGCACCATTGCTATGCGGATCCCGTTCGCAGTCATCAACTCTGGTGTGGAGGTCAACGGGGTGAGGACCGACCCGATTGAAGATGAGCGACACTTACAGGAAGAGTTGGAAATTATGGACATCGCACGGAAGGAAGCGGACACTGCAGGCTTCGGGTTCGACAGCTTCCACTTTCTTTTTACACGACGTTGCTTCGATCCCTCCGTATCTGACCTAACGAAGTGGCATCACTTCCCCAGCCGCTCAAGAGCATGATGCTTCGGACCCAGCAGGATTACGACGACCTGCCGGAGTCCATCCGACGCCAGCGACACATCACCGCGCGCGTGCCGGGCAATATCGCGCAGCTGATGGGCGGCAGCGGCAGGACCGACACCCACATGACGGACGCTTCTTTGCTGGTAGGTGGCGGACAACAGGACACCCCAGCAGGAGCCCCAGCAGCTGGGTCTTGGACCACAGCCGCCCCGGGGCCCCAAGGCGCTCAAGGAAACTTGACCGCCTGGGCACCCCCAACTATTGCGACGACATCATCGGCCACGCCGACGGCTACCCTCTGGGGCAATCCAGACGAGGAAGCCGACAGCGGCACTGATTCCGATACTATATCATCGCCCTACGAAACAAAATCTACGTGGAGCGACCTCGCAGACATCCCTTGAGACCACCATGGCCGCAGGTGGCGTTATATGCGCAAGCCTGCGGGCCGGGTCAGCCAGCTTGCGAAGCTTACCTCTAAGGCATGGGCAGGACGGGTCGGGGCGGCCGCCGTCGTCGCACAGGAAAACGAAAAGGCATCCAGACATACGTCACGGCACTGGAAGACGATCCCCAGGAAAAGTTATTGTTGACGCTTCGCGAATCCCCACCAGCCCATCCAGAAACGATGCCCAGAGGAATTGCCTCGATCAGGGAAAGTGGGCAGCACACAGAGGAAGCCATTATGAGACATCTTGGGATATCTTGAGCCATCTTGGAGGTCAACTTCGGCTCTCCCAGGCGCTCTTGGAGTTATCTTAATCAGTGCCTCCCCCCAAGAGGCCAACATGTGGCTAAAACCTTAGTGCAATCAATGATTGAGCATTCTCGCCAAGGCCTCTTGGAGCATCTTGGGTGCCTCTGGGGGGTCTCTTGGGGCCTCCTGGGCGCTTCTTGGGGCCATCTTGGAGGAGACCGATGAAACAAGGGGGGAGCACGAATCAGCGCCCCCCCCCCCCTGGAGGCCGAAATGGAGCCAAATTCTAGTAAAACCAATGATGTTGGCTTCCTCGCCGAGGCCGTTTTGGACGCCCCGACGACTCGCGAAACCCCTCTGTCCAGGTCCAGGGGAGGGGGTAGGGGGATGGGTAAACCCCTCCCCGAAGGGGGAGAAGGAGGGGTGGAAGAGGAAACTCCCTAAACCACCGACGCCCAGAGGGCTGGTGGGACTCCCTAAACCACCTACGCCCAGAGGGTTTGTGGGGGTCTCTCGAGAGCCTGTTGGGGGCATCCTGGGGGCCTCTTGGGGCTTCCTGGCCACCTCTTGGGGCCATATTGGGGCACTCTTGGGGCCTCCTGGGCGTTTCTTGGGGCCATCTTGGGTGAGATCGATTATAGGAGGGGGGGGACTAATTAGCGTCCGCGCCTCAGGAGGCCAAAATGGGGCCAAAACCTTAGTAAAACCAATGATTTGGGCTTCCTCGCCGAGGCCGTTTTGGACGCTCCGACACCTCGCGAAACCCTCTGTCCAGGTCCAGGGGAGGGGGTAGGGGGAGGGGTACGCCCCTCCCCGAAGGGGAAGAAGGAGGGGTGGAAGAGGAAACTCCCTAAACCACCGACGCCCAGGTGGCTTGTAGGATTCTTTGGCGGCCGTGGTAAAGGCCTGGGAGGGGCGCCAGGAACAGACAACTCTGATCTAGCAAAGGAAAAAGTTGACGACCAAATCGTTTCGGCAAAGACAGCCAGCTCATGAAATGCCAACAACTGCGGTTCAGCTCAACACCTCGCACGAGACTGCCCTCAATCAGCAGGACAAGGCTTTGCCCCTGCATCAGACACACTGCTCACGGGCACCGTGGAGCAGTGAGACCTGCGGGAGCACAACCAACAAGAACAAGTGTTTTTTTCATGTTAGGTTTTCTTCGACGCGATGGGGCGCTACCGGATAGGGAACACGGCCCGAAGCATTTGATGCACGAATACCACGTCTTGCAGCGGAGGTACCCGGGGCAACCCGTCCGCCTCGAGAACTCAGTCCCGAACCATGGCATGCACCACAGGGCAATTGACGGCGACAAAGACATGCCAGACCCAAACGCTTCGTCATCACGACATCGTGACCCACAATCAAGACGACGATCTTGAGGTACTACATCCAAGCTCTCCAGGCATTCGGTTACCATCACAACACCCATGGGATATAATGCCAGAGGGCCGACTCCTGCCGCACATGACCAACAGTAATTCGATATTGTTGGATGTGGACGACACAGAACCTCCGACATACGTTTCTTGGACGTGGTGGGATCCTTTAATGACAGATGCAATACGTACATCTGATGTAGCAAACGTGAAGTTTGAGGCCATGACGGAAGAGAATGTACATACGTACGCAATACCTGCATTTCGATTGCTACGTTCCTATCAGGCATGTTCCAAAACAGTACACGGAAGGAGCTGACGACAATGTCGAAGCGAGGACTATTTGGAATCCAAGACGACCTGGCGCACGGCTTGGCCCCCAGGATGACCCCGACACAGAATGCACCGTTGAATTGGCATACGACGAGACTGACAGCGAAGTAGACGTCGCTGTCACTCTCGCCATTGCCCGCTGCAACTGCCAATTTTCTCGCACGCGCGGGCCTGCGCCTGTAGCTGATGGCACATGAGTTCTGCTTTTCTGGCAGCCGACCGCTGCCGCCAACCATTCTCGCGCGCACGGACCCACGTATGTAGCTGATGGCGTTTGGGATGTTATTCGCTGGCACCGCCGCCCCTTCTCGCACGCGCGGGCCCACGCCTATGGCCGAGGACATCTGGCTGCTGTCTCTCACACCTCCGTAAGCTGCTACAGCTGACTCGTATCGCACAGACGGGTTCACACACAAAGTTGGTGACATTAGGTTATTGTATCGCTAGTCGCCGACGTTTCCTGCGCGCTCTGGTTCTGCCGTCGCCTCTCGCACGTTATGGTTCTGGCATGCGCGTTCCTTTCTCACACAGCCAGTGCTGCTGGCTCACGTGTGTAGTTGATAGCGCGTGGTATCCATGACGCCAAAATGGCTACGGACCCTCCTCCTCCTCCTCCTCCTCCTCCTCCAGAACTTCCTCCTCCTCCTCCCCCTCCAGAACTTCCTCCTCCTCCTCCTGCTCCTCCTCCAATTCCTCCTCCTCCTCCTCCTCCTCCTCCTCCTCCTCCTTCTCCCTCCTGCCCTCTTCCTCCTCCTCATCCTTCCCCTCCGCCTTCCCTCCTCCGCCTTCCCTCCTCCTCCGTCCCTCCTCCTCCTCCCCCTCCTCCCCCTCTTCCGCCTTCCCCTCGACCTTCTCCTCTCCCCTCCCACGCCCGCCCGCCAAGCCGGCCCGTCGGGGGGGGCAGCCCGAGAGGATTCCGTTCCCGCAGAGGGGCCAGCCGCCGCAGTTCACGTTCCACCGCACGGAGGGGTTCCGGGCCTGAGCGGCGGGGAGCGTCGGGGCCATCGCACTGAGGCGTCCAGACTTGTAGTCGTCGTTTGTTGTCTTGGCCGCGATCGCCATCGACGACGCATAGGAGGAGGAGGAGGAGGAGGAGGGGGAGGACCAGTGTAAACCCAAGAGTCACCAACGACGTTGGAATAAACCCTCCCTCCGAGCTCCCTCTTCATAGGCCCCTACAACGGTTCATTTCCACTGAGGGAACTGCCTCATTGGAAAACTACCGCTTTGAAGACCCTGAAGCATGCCAGAACATGTTCTCGGAATTCCAACGCCACGGATGAACCTGACTGTTGCATCTTGACGGTCCCGAATCGTGCCGGAATGCCATTCTTGGGACATCAACTCCGAGAAATTTGAATTGTTGCGCCCTCAAAATCGTGAACCTTTCCAAAACACCATTTCTGGTGCATCGATCATGGGAATTCGTAAAACCTTTTTGCAAACGTTTACAACGAATGCGCACGGCGCTAAGGCGAGAGCCACATTCTGAAAACGGCCCGCCTTCAATCTGTGAAACTCTTGCACCTGTTGAAAACGATTGTGCGCGGCGCTAAGGCGAGAGCCACATTCTGAAAAAGAACCGCCCTCAATCCGTGAAACTCTTGTAAATGTTTAAACACAATGTGCGCGGCGCTAAATCGAGAGTCACATTTTGAAAACGGCCCGCCTTCAATACGTGAAACTCTTGCACATGTTTAACAAGAATGCGCGCGGCGCTAAGGCGAGAGCCACATTCTGAAAACCACCCGCCCTCAATCAGTGAAACTCTTGTCATTCGTTTAAACGAATGCGCGCGGCGTTTAGGCGAGAGCCACATTTTGAAATCGGCCCGCCCTCAATCCGTGAAACTCTTGCACATGTTTAGCAAGAATGCGCGCGGCGCTAAGGCGAGAGCCACATTCTGAAAACCACCCGCCCTCAATCAGTGAAGCTCTTGCAATTTTTTAACAAGAATCCGAGCGGCGCTAAGGCGAGAGCCACATGTTGAAAACGGCCCGCCCTCAATGTGTGAAACGGCTGCCATGTTCCCTACCTAGGCTCTGCCTAGAAGGGTTCTTACTCTATGGGCTTAAAGGGGCCGGCAGTGGAAATCGCCCTGGGCGGTTCCCCCGGCATCCGCCCCGCGGTTCCCCCAGTTACGTCCCCTTAGCTTAGCGTTGCTTATCTCATCTTAGTTCAGCTTATTAGCATGGGCGTAATTCCCTACCTAGGCTCTGCCTAGAGGGTTAGCTTAGCTTAGCATAGCGCAGCGCTGCATTAGCATAGCATAGCATTGCATAGCATAGCATAGCCAAGCATATCATAGCATAGCATAGCGCAGCATAGCATAGCATAGCATATCATAGCATAGCGCAGTTTAGCATAGCATAGCATAGCTTAGCATAGCACAGCGCAGCATGACATAGCATGGCTTAGCATAGCATACCATCGCATAACATAGTGCAGCATATCATAGCATAGCATAGCATATCATAGCGTAGCGCAGCATAGCATGGCAGAGCATAGCATAGCATAGCATAGCAACTAATGCTGCTTTCCTAGGGGCTCCAACTTCTAGGTAGGGTCGCACTGGGGTAATTTTAGTTTCAGGTAACAGATGGTGAGGAAGCCTCAGGCGAAACGCCCGGCCCGCCCCAAAAACTGGCCTCGGGTGCGACATGAAGAAATTATTTAAAAGGAGAAGGAATGGAGGAGGAGGAGGAGGATGAGGAGGAGTCGCTTGAGCCGCAGGGAGCTATCGGGCGCGAGGTTCCTGCCATGTGCTCTTGGAACGTCGGCAATGGCACAGCCTTGCTCCAGGACGCAGCGACCCTTAAGGGGAAGGTGGGCCCCGCTTGACGGTAGCCCAGCGTTCACCACATGTTTGAAACAAACGGCAGGTTCCTCAGCAGCGAGACCTTCAGAAAAGGCACCATTAAGCTATAGTTGGAAAGGGAATCTGAACCCCATAGAATTTAGACAAGCTTAAACAATACCCACGCCAGCGCAATTGCATGAAAACGATGTGAAAAAAGTTCCGCCTCAAATTTGAAAGACAGCGCCCAACATTGAAGCACGGCCGCAGGAGGGGGATCCCGATGGGCTCGAAGCCCCCTGCACCCCTGGAGGAGGGGGAGGGGGAGCAGGAACAGGAGCAGGAGGAGTCGGAGGAGAAGGGTGACCAGCGGAAGGCGGGGGAGGGGAAAAGAACGGGACGGCAACAACGAGGAACGAAGTTCACTGGGGCGAGAGCGCCGTCCTCAGCGCCAGGAGCGAGGCACCGATCCTGAATTGTGGTCAACCTTGTAGCGCGGGCAACATGTTTGTAGGACCGTGAATGATCTGGTCGGGAGACCGTCAACACAAAAATTCCTGGAAATAGGAAATTGGGAAACCGCGCGCGACTGATCTTGGAGTACGCGTGCGCACTGCCAGGATCGAGGGAAGTGTGTATTCAACTGAGTAATTGCGGAGTGCAAAATGTACAGAAGATTCGAGGGGAAGGTTCGATGATCGAGGATCGAACTGATGCTCACGTTTGGTTTGCGTCCGGTCGGGCCCCCGTGGGCCCGCCCCCCCTTGGGCACGGCTGATCGCAGCTCGGCAAGTTGGCCAGGACGGGCCCCGGGAGGGGCCCCGTGAACATTGGTGGCCAGGAAGGGGCAGGTCGGCTAGAAGTAAGAGTGACCCTGGGCCGGAGTGATCTTTGGTGCGGGCCTAATGGGAGGCGAGGCGATGGCGCCAGCTTGTGCGCCTGTGTTTGGCCCCCCAGGCGGCCCCCGCTAGACCGCGCACCAAAGGTCACTCTTACCCAGGGTCACTCTTGCGTGTAGCCGAGCAGGGCACGACGGGACGGGACACGATGGCGCAGCTCGTATCAGCACAGCTCAACGATGTTGAAATCACCGTGCGACAGTTCAGCGTAGCGGCTTGGCGCAGCCAACACGTCAGTTCAACCGAGAGTGGCTGTCATGAGTGCATACGGCAGCACACATGATATACATAGTCGTATGTTAGTTAAGCAGCTTCCGCCGAGTCCGAATCTAGCAGGGATGTTCCAATGTGTAAACACATGTGGGGTGCTGCGCTTCTTCAACTGGCCAACTTCGCCGACGTGCGCCGGCTAGCTCAGCAGATGTTATGTCATTGTTTCGTTTGACGGTGCGTAGGGTAGGACAGGACAGGGCATGATTGGCGAGCATTGCGCAGAGTTGTAGCGCAGTGTAGCTTGGCATAGATCTGGAATCAACAAGGTCATGCTAGCTCAACAGCAAGCTGGTTCGTTTGTGAATACCACCGCTTCAAATATCACAGTATATATCGGCGGAGGTTGTGCATGTATCTTTGCTTGGCTTTTCCCGATGTGGCATGACACTGGTCGCGGTGATTCTGGACATCAAGATAGCAAGCACCAGAGGGCAGCGTGATTCAGCGGAGTATTGGCAAGTAAGGTAGCAGCTTTGTGCTAACAGTGGCAGCAAGATTGCGACACTTATCCGATGGCTCCAAGCATACTGAAAGAGTTGAGATTCAAATGGGTACTGTGGGGAGGACGTACCACCTCCACACATGGCAAGCATGATGCCGCCTCCAGGCTGGGCTGGTCGTTTGCGCGCGAGCTTCTCCTGGCCCTTGCTAATCATCAGGAGTGAGCAGGAATCATGAGGAAGAGGAAGATGAGAAGGAGGAAGAGGAGGCGGCGGCGGATAAGGGGGGAGCAGAAATAGGAGGGAGGAAGAGGAGGAGGAGAAGGACGGGAAGGAGGAGAAGGAGGCAGGCAGAGGAAGCGGAGGAAGCGCAGCACGAGGGGAAAGCCAGGAGAGCAGGTGGAGTAGGGAGAGCAGGTAGAAGGCGAGTAGGAGGGCGATGCGGAGGAGGCTGAGGAGGAGAAAGGAGGAGGAGTGGGGATGGGGAGGAGCAGAACGAGGTGGAGGCAAATGAGGAGGAGGAGAAGGAGGAGGAGGAGGAGAAAGTGTGTGGTTCAGGGGAGGAGGAGGAGGAGGAGGAGGAGGAGGAGGAGGAGGAGGAGGAGGAGGAGGAGGGGAGGAAAAGGAGGAAGAGGAGAAAGTGTGTGAGGAGGATAATTATGGAGGAGCGAAAGGAAGAGGAGCAGGCGAGGGTCGGGAGAGATTGGCGAGGCACGACAGCGGAGTGGCGCAGAGGACGTGGACGCGGAGGAGGACGACGAGGGAGCACGCGAGGGGGCGGCAGCGCAGGCGGCGGGAGCGCGGAGGGGCACGCCTGGCAGGGCAAGTGCGGCGCGAGCGTGGTTCGCCCCCCTCTCTCCAGGAGGGGGGGGCTCTCTCCAGGAGAGGGGGGGAGAGGCAGGGAGGGAGGAAGAACGAGAACAAAAACGAGCGATTCTACGCAGTCGGTCCGATAATTTGGCTGACGAACGACCCAGCCGTAAGCAGCTGCGAATACTGCGAAGGATATGAGACGGAGGAGGGGGCCTGCGGTGGCCCAAGCCCCCTGCGCCGCCACTTTGTCTCCACTGTCTTCCCGTCTCATTGCCCCGGTGATCGCGGCTCTGGGCAGAGCGGAGCGCGGAGTTCCCGCGACGCGCGCCGGTTGCTCCGCAGGGGTCCAGGCGACGCGCGCGGATCGTCCGCTGCGCGGAGCAAAGGGGGCCGAGAACGGACCAAGCGCTGGCCGTTGGGCAGAGCGAGGACGGGCGAGCGAGATGCTGCGCGGAGCGCAGCACGGAGTCCCCGCAACGCGCGCAGGTCGTCCCGAAGGAGTCCCACGCGCGCAGGTCGTCCTAGTCTGGAAGCCAAAAGATGGCATGGCGGCCAGGCGCGCCGCTGCGATGTCCGCAGCGCATCGCAGAGGAAAATGCCCCTCAAGCCAGGCCTCGCGGACAAATTCGGCGAAGCCCAACTCATTGGCAATGGCCGTCGCCCACCTCCTGCAGCGCCTCGTGCGCGCCGCAAACTGATCCAGCTGCTTCCGCAAGCCCTGCGGCGGCCGGGCGAGGAAGAACTCGATGCGCGGCACCCTCATGAGCAGGAGGTCCTCGTGGTGCGTGGCGCGCGAGAGCAGCGCGTAGAGCTCCAGCCACCAGTCGTCGTCCTCCTCCTTGCCGTTCCCGACCTCGTGGCGGCCGCAATCCAGGATCACGCCTGTGCGACGTCGGCCGAGGGCGCAACGCGCCGGGCAGCCCGCCGCCTCGGGCGAGAGTCCACAGTACCGATGGGGCGCGGAGCGTAGACTGCTTGCGCCCAGGCGGCGTGGCCGCGGACTGCCCGCAAGCGCCGTTCCCTCGCCCGGTCGCCTTCTCGCACGTTGCGCCCTTGGCATGCCACCGCGGCGATGACCCTGCCGCGCGAGGAACGGGAAGCCGACGCGGATGACTTTGGAGGCGCGGAAGGCGAACGGTTCCGACACGCGAGGTTCGATGAACACCCGCGGGCCCGTGAGCTCTCCTGTGAGGCTGTTGTCGCGGCGCTCCAGATCGCCCGCGACGGGCGCGCCCGCGCATTTCTCCATGCGCACCCAGGACCCCAGCGGCAAGTGCTTCAGATAGATCCTTTTCTCCCCGCTTCTCTCGGCTTGCTCGACCTCGGCTCGGCCCCGCGCGTCCCCGACGACGTGCACGATCTGCCACTCCGCATCCTTCACGAGGCCGTTCTGGAAGTCGAGCGCCTCCAGGAGCCGGATCCGCATGACCACCTGCACCGGGAGGAGCCCGTGCATGCCGCCAGTGTTTTTCGGGATTGCGCGGTTCATCATTTTTGCGGCGTCTTTCGCGCCCATCGTCGAGGCAGACCTTCAGGACGTCCGCGCCCCGCCGGGCGCGCATGTTCATCCACCGCGCCACGGCATCCCATTCGGATCCGATCATGTGACCATTCTGGAACCTGTCCTCCCGCAGCCGACGATCGCCCGGCTTCAGCTGCATGGCGTTCCACGCGGTCCGGATGGCCGGAGGCACCTGCTTCCTTGGTTTGCGCAGGAACGCCATGACGTCCCAGAGCTTCGGGTCTTTGAAGCGGCTGGACGCCTGGAGCTCGAAGCACTGCGGCGTATTGCAGAAGAGCTTCAGCACGGCCTGGCACTCCGGGGCGAGGTTGATGCCGGCCGCCGCCAGTTCTTCGAAGCTTGAGATGAGGGGCTCCTTGCCCCCCGTCGGCTTCAGCTGCAGCAAATCCCCCAGGTGGATCACGATGGGCATGCGGTCGGATGCGCCGCCGACCTGGTCGCACTCCCGGTCCTCCGCGCCCCATGTGGCCGTGCGTCCGAGTTAGGACCGGAACGCCAGCATGTTGCACAGGCTGGGCGAGATTATTCTCACCAACTCCAAGATCTAGCATTTGACCGCTTTCCACGGGTCGTGTAGCGCTTTCGGCTTGCCCCTGGCGGGCATGTCCTTGTTCCTGCAGGACGGCACTCCGATGACTCCCGCCCGTCGGCAACTGACGGCCTTGTGAGTATCGGTGAAAATATTCGCGGTCTGAGACCACTTCGCTCTTTATGGGGTCACGAAGCGCTGTCCTGGGTGGCGTTGACGCATGAGGCCTGTGCCACTGGAGCCTTCGGTGGGGCTCCCTACGGGGCCACGATCGTATTGTGTGCCGTTGACGCATGCGGCCTGTGCCACCGGAGCCTTCGGTTGAGTTCCCTATGGGGCCACGAAACGCTGTCCTGGGTGGCGTTAGCGCATGCGGCCTGTGCCATTGGAGCGTTCGGTGGAGCACCCCATGGGGCCACGAAGCGATGTCCTGGGTGGCGTTGGCGCATGCGGCATGTGTCACTGGAGCCTTCGGTGGAGCTCCTTGTGGGGCCACGAAACGCTGTCCTGGGTAGCGTTGACACATGCGGCCTGTGCCACTGGAGCCTTCGGTGGGGCTCCCTTTGGAGCCACGAAACGCAGTCCTGGATGGCGATGAAGCAATGAAGCATGCGGCCTGTGTCACTGGAGCCTTCGGTGGAGCTCCCTGTGGGGCCACGAAACGCTGTCTTGTGTGGCGTTGACGCATGCGGCCTGTGCCACTGGAGCCTTCGGTAGAGCTCCCTATGGGGCCACGAAGCGCTGTCCTGGGTGGGTGAAACGCAGGGGTGTGACAAGGTGGATGCGAGGAGGGAGGAGGGCGAGGAGGAGGAGAGGAGAGGAAAGGAGGAGGGACGCGGCGCGTTGTCTCTTCAAAGCGAGGACCCAACACCACAGGATTGGTGGGAAAAAGTGACCCTCTCGCCCTTGACCGCCATGGAGACCGCGAGCGAGATGTACCCCGACCGCGACGAAGATGCCACCTAAGTAATGAGAGCAGGACGACGTCCACCAGCCGCACCACACCCGCGACGACTGTGGAAAAGATTTGCCGGGCCATTCACAATAGTCGCAGCAGATGGAACGCCAACGATCCTGACAGCGCGAAAGTTGAGTTCACCTGAGACCATCCCCGAGGCAATGGGCCATGCTTGCTGTGTTGTCCGCGCGGCCAGCGGGGAACCCAGATGAGTGCCACCATTTGCGTGTCAGCCATGGGCGTCCAGCCCGCCTCGCAGACCGCCGGGGACAGCTGACTCATGGGGAGGAGGAGGACGCGGAGGACGAGGGAGAGGAGTTGGAGGAGGAGGGGAGGGGGGAGGGAGGGGGGGGGTCAAATCTGGTGCTCTGGGGGGGAGGGGCGGGTAGGAGGATCTGGCGTTCTGGGGGTCCCTCTTCCACAACTGCTTCAGTACCCCGAGGTATCTCACACTGCCGCCCTCGTCACCCTCCCTCCCTCCCCCCTCGTCCTCCTAGTGCGATTCGGCCTTCGTACACTACTCGCCATCGTCTTCCATTCTTTGTCCCTATATATAACTCCTCCTTGTCGCACCCCGAGACTGGTCGAAAGGGCGGGCCAGGCGTTTCGCCTGAGACTTCCTGACATGGATGATCTTGAAGCTTGAAAATTGGCAACACACGGATTGAGGCCAGTTGGGTTTCAAATTGTGGTTCTCGTTTTAGCTCCGCGCACACTCGTATTGAAATTTGGAAGAGTTTCACGGAGTGAGGGCGGGTGGTTTTGAAAATGCGGGTCTCGCCTTAGCGTCGCGCGCATTCATTTTAAGATATTGGAAGACGTTCAAAAATTAAAGGCGGGTGGTTTTCATATGTTAGTGTTCGTTTCTGAGGGTTTGTGGTTTTCAAAAAATAACGCCGCGCACATTCGTTTTTAGAAAATGGAAGAGTTTCACGGATCGAAGGCGGGTGGCTTCCAATGTGTGGCGATATTAGCGCCGCGTAAAGTTGTTTAAACCAGTTGCAAGAATTTCATTGGTTCTCATGGTTAACTACTAGGAACGGTGTTGGGGAACGAGTCAGGATTGCCAGGGCACAACAGTTACGTTGATTCGAGGTGTTGAGGCCAGTACGTAACAGACAGGTCCTATCGTGGCGTCGAAGTCCTGAGAATGGGTTTTGGACACAAAGGTGTTTTTGGCACACGTCAAGATGTTCCAACGGTTGTCCCCCGACGGGAGAATACCCTCAGTGGAAACGACCCGTTGTAGGGGTTTGTGAAGAGGGATATTGGAGGGAGGATGCAACATCGCTGATGCGCCTTGGGTTTACATTGGTCCCTCCTCCCTCCTCCTCATCCTCCATCTTCTCCTCCATCCTTTTCTTCGTACACTTGAGTCTCCGTTTTGTGTACCACAGTTGCGTCTTATATTACATTATGATTGGGTGTTCGCCGTTGTGAACTTCCAGTTGTGCTCCGTCGCTGTGCAAAATGTTCCCTCGGAGTGGCGCACTTGGAGTGTCATCTGACCTTTTTCTCCGTCCTTCCCCCCTCTTGGCGAGCACGTTCCATCCGCTGCTTCCCCCCCACCATCCTCCAGTGCCCCCCCCCTCCCCCCTGGAGATGCCACCCTCATCCCCCCTTGAAGGGTCCCAGGGTATCACTTTGAGTTCTCAGGAAAGTGTGTCTGAAAGCCTTGTTTGCGGCGCCCAGAGGTCTTCGACAGGACCAAACATGGGCAAAAGCGGCCACAAGCTTCAGCCTTCAACATGTGTCCCTCCCTTCCTCCCCCTCCCTTCCCTCCCGTCCCTGGCTGTTCCGTCCTCGTTCCTTCCGTCCCCCCATTTCCCCGTTGTTCATCTTTCCGTCCATCTCTTCCCCATCTCCTTCCGTGGCGCAGGCAGCGGCTGCAAGCACCCTCCAAACCCGCAGCATGTGGGCCTCCTGAACGCGGGCGGGGCTTAGGTCCTGTGCGTTCAGCCACCGAAGGGGAAAGCGTTCATCCCTCTTCCCCTCACCTTCCTCCTCCTCCTCCTCCTCCTCCTCCTCCTCCTCTTCGTCCCCCTCTTCTCCTCACCCGCCTCCGCTCTTTCCTCTTCCATCCATGTTCCTCCTCCTCCTCCTTCCTCCCCTCCTCCGTCGAGGTTGTCCACTGCACAGTTGTGCGCTCCTGTGCAACCCGTGACAGTGACATCCTCCGTTTCCTCCACCACCTCCTCCGCGTCATCCGCCGCAGTCTCCCTCCCCCCCCCGCCCCTGCGAGCCTCCTTTCTCCCCCCTTTCCTTGGGGGAGGAGGAGACGGAGGAGACGGAGGGGGAAGAGGAGGAGGAGGGGGAGGAGGAGGAGCCAGACGCGTCTCTTGCGTCTGGGTGTCCCTAATTTGTTCCTGCATGCGAATGGGGTAGCACCCGTACTGCTCTAGAGCCAGCGAGGAGGAGGACAAAGCATTACAGAAGGTAGTATTGTGTTTGTGGGGAGGAGGCGGAGGAGGAGGAGGAGGAGGGCAGAAAACCGAGGATGCATCAACGATGTTGTAATACACCTTGCCGTCCGAGGTTCTCTCTTCAGAAGTCCCTACCTTTATCCCTAGCCTTTGCGTGAAGCAAGCCAGTGAAAGAGGCGACCAACGGGATTGCCACTCTGGCGAGAGCCCTGTTTGGAAAAGGGACCGCCCTTCATCCGTGTAACTGTTGCAGAATGCTACACGTCGGGTCGTAAATGCTGAGGAAGTCTCAGGCGAGAGACCCACTGTTTGAATAGACTCCCTACTTTATGCTCCGTGTGGCCGATGCACCAGTTTACGCGTCAATCTGCAGTTGTCAAGAAAGTCCCAAGTCTCAAGCGAGAGCGCGCTCCGCAGCCATTTTGGCTCAAGACTTCTGCACTTGGGGGCGCCGCGCCTCCGTGCCAAAACGGGATAGCTTTGTTCCCCGAGCTCGCTTTCATCGATTCGCCTGGACCGCCCCAGGCAGAGTGCTGCGCGGCCCGCCCCGCGTAGCACAGCTTCTTGTGAGCTCCTGCAGGAGCAAGCGCAATCAATCACGATGCCGCTCTGGTGGGTCCTCCTGGGCGCGAGCAGCCTCGGCCAGGCAGGATGGCTTCCAAGAAGCCCCCGAGTGGGCACACCCAGCATCGGGTGGCATGGGCGCAGCCCTGGTACTGTCGCTTCTGCTGGGCGCCGCCCGGTGATCGCTGGTGGAACGCCGCTGACCTGCTGGCCTGCAAGCAGTGCCAGCGCTCCAAGGGCCAGCACTTCCACCCCCAGCGGACGCCCAAGTCGCCATCCGTCTCCGCCAAGGACCAGGCAGCTTCTGCCGAGGTGCGCAAGCTCCAGCAGGAGCTCCACCAGGGGCTCAAGCAGGCGCACGCCGAGCGGGACAAAGCCAGGTCGGAGGCAAAGGAGGCGAAGGCAGCGGCTGCCGAGCCCGACCCGTTCGGCATGGAGGTCGACGCCGTGCAGCTGGAGGCCGAGGTCGAGTCGTCCCGGGTCAAGGAGCTGAGTGGTTTGCTCAGCCAGTTCGAGGGCGCCAGCGACTCCTCGGGCCAGGTGGCGAAGATGCGCCAGGACTGGGCGGCCGAGCTCGAGCAGCTGCGGTCCAGCAGATGGGCCAGAAGCCGCTTCCTGTCCAGATCCAGCTGCTCACGCAGCAGATCAAAGGGCTTGAGCGCAAGGCAGATGCCAAGCGCGAGGCCATGGCCAAGCTCCAGGACCAGGCGCGCTCCGCCCAGGCGCAGTTTGACGAGGTGGCGTCGGAGGCCGCCTCCATCCAGAAGGAGATTGCGGCGCTGGAGGCCCAGCGCGCGGAGGTGGCGGTGCAGTTCCCGCAGCCTGCGACTGTCGTTGACGGCGTCAAGGCCTCGCTCGACTCCGTGTTGCCGAGTGTCGGGCTTTCTGCGGCGCAGATGGTCGTGGTGCTTGGGACCTTCGGGGCCGACCCGCAGCTGGCCCAGGAACTGCGTGCGCGGTGTTGCGGTGCGAGCGCAGGCTGAGCGGCAGGCGGAGCTGGAGCGGCAGCGTGCGCAGGCAGCTATGGCGCCAGGTGCGCCTGCGCCAGCGGCGACGCCAGGCGCCCCTCCGCCGGAGGCAGCGCCTGCGGCCGCACAGCCGCCTGCTGCTGGGGCCCTTCGCATCCCCGTGGCATCTGGCGACGGGGCTGACACTCCTGAGGTGCTTCAGGTTTTTCTCATGGGGAATGGGGCAGGAGGTGCCGACCGACGAGGCCGATCTTCGCGAGACGGCCAAGCGCTCTTCCGAGGATCTCGAGAGCCTTGCCGAGCGCCAGCGCCTTCAGGGGCCAGGTGCAGAGGCCTCCGCGTAGACCTGCCATCGGCCTCGTCATCATGATGATGTATGCTGTGGACGCGGTCTCTGCCGTCGACCTCGCGGGCGGCAATGTTGTTTCTGCGCCGAGCCCTGCGTTGCCTCCAAGCACGTGGGCACAGCGTCACGGCGGGCCTCCAGACCGCGGCGCCGCGACGCCCGGCGGGCCCTTGGACCGCGACGCCGCGACGCGCGGCACGGCCGCGCCTGCCCCCCGCGGCGCGCGACCATGATGGTTTGGCTCCTGGGCTTCCCGCGGAGGCAGCGGCACCCGCGGTCAAGGGCCTCGTCTCCTCCGCCAACGTCTCGTCCTACGCAGCGCTGGAGGCGCTGCTGGGGCCCCCGTTCACCAGCAACGTCGCGCTGGTCCAGGAGCACCATGCCGGCATCGGCAAGGTGGAGGCGTTGCAACAGCGGGTCCGCAACCTCGGCTACCACGGGGCGCGAGACGCTGCTCCTCCATATGATGGGGGCGGCACCCATGGAGGCTGCGCGGCGCTGGCCAAGGCGGGCATCCAGGTTACGACGCCGCCGTTGCACCCGACTGGCTGCCTGATCCCAGGGAGGGCCACGGCAGGGCACGTGCATTGGGGCGCGGCAGGTTTGATCGTGATGGTCTTCTCTGTATACCTGCATGACAGTGCCGGCCTGGACGTCTCCAACCTGGAGATCTCGAGGGCGGTGGGCCACTGCGTGCTGGACATCGCCAGCCGTGGATTCGCCTGGATCCTCGGAGGCGATTTCAATATGGCCCCGGATCGGCTGGCCCCGCGGTTCAACTCTGCGGGGGCGGTTATGCTGTCAACGGCGGCGACTACATGCCGTCAGAAGTTACCCGGCCCTAAGCTGGACTACTTCGGGGTGGGCGGCCGCCTTCTAAGTCGCATCCAAGTGCCCGAGGTCTACGAGGCAGCGGACACCTTCCCTCACAAGCCTGCGCAGTACCGCTCCTGGCTAGTGACACGGCGCTCTGGCGCAGGGCGCCGTGGGAACCGAAGGCCTCTGCAGCGATGGCGCCACCTGGCTGCCCCAGGCCACCGGCGTCGCTCTGGCACGCGGTCCAGGAGCAGATTGGAGCTGCGGCAAGCGACGCGGAGCTCAGCCAATGCTGGGACGACGCGCTACAAGGCATTGAGCAGGGTCTGCGTGGCCGTTACGACCTCGTTGGCCAAGGCTGCCAGGCGCAGACGGGCAGAGCAGGCCCGCCCCGCATGCGCTGGCAGAAGTATGCCTGGCAGCCGCCGCGGCATCGCCCCCCTGATCGGGGCACTGCGACTGACGCATGGGCTGTGGCTGCTGGCTGGGCGCGACACCTGCGGCGAGCCAGCGAGAGCCTCAACAATCGCATCCCGCAGCTCATGGTGACGAGGGCTGCGGGAAGGCCGTCGGTGGCGGAGACCTCCAAGCTCGGCGTCTTCCTCCTTCACGACGCGGAGGCTTTCTTCGGGCGCCTCCTGAGGCAGAAGTGGGTGCTCTCGGCGGTGGACCCGTGCGTGGCGGAGTTCTTTGAACAGAGTTTGATGGTGCTCGCCGACGCTAACTTCCATGACATGGTCGACTGTTCATCAAGGTGAGTCGAGGCTTGCAGCTTTCGCGGCTGAGCGAGGCAAGACTTGGACGAAGTGGGTCGAGGCCAGCTTCGTTAGAGGCGCGTCGCAAGCTCACCGGTTCAGCAAGGCCCGTGCCCTGCAGCCTGCAGACGCGGCCCGGACACGAAGCCAGCTATATGAGCTAGTTGACGACTGCCTGGATGACTGGGCCACGATCTGGGCGACCCACGGCTGCGTGAGGATGGAGCTACCGCCCGAGGCGGAGTCGTGGGAGCCTTTGCCGACGATTTCGCAAGTTGAGGTCCGCTCTGCTGTGCGCAATTTTCCTGCCAGGACGGCCATTGGTCCTGGGCGCCTGGCCCCATGCAGTCTGTGGCACCTGAGCGACCAAGCGCTGCAGACGGTGGCGTTCCTCTTCATGTTGTGCGCGAAGTTATGCTGCTGGCCGCGAGGAAGGGTGGCCACGGAGCTGGTGAGGCTGCCGAACCCGGACAAGCCTGGTGAACACAGGCTGATAGCCCTCATGCATATTTTAATTAAAATGTGAGGAGGGTTCGGAGGCCTGTTTCGGTGGAGTGGGAGGGGAGGCATCGCAGTGAGCTCCTGTGGGGCTCCAGTCCAGGGAGTTCCAGTCTCGATTGCGCTTTTGCTCACAATTTGGAGGCTGAGGTCGCTCGGAAAACTGGCCAGCATTGTTTGACAGTTTTGACTGGCATGGTTAAATGTTATGAGTTTGTCTTGTTTCGTACCGAGGGTGCTGCTGTTGGATTTCCTTCTGCGTTTAGCGTGGATGTTGGTGTGTAATTATCAGCAGCCTCGGCGCATCATAGCTTAGCCGTTCCTACACGCATTTTCAGGGGATGTTGTCGGGTTGCTCGCACGCCACCACCCTCATGCAGGTCCTCCTCCTTCGCCTTCTCCACTGGCTCAAGAGGGAGTTCGAGTTTGTGGTTCCCCGAGGCCTCATGGATGATGTGCCGTTTCAGTGGATAGGACGCCTGGCCAAGTACGCTGGGGTCGTTTTTAATGCGGTCACGGCTTTCGCCAGCTATACCCGCCAGCTAGGTTCTCTTGCATGCCTCCAAGTCTGGTTATCTTGCGTCTTCGACGGCAGCAGCTCGTGCTGTGAAGTCGAGAGCGGCCAGGCTGAAGCTCCAGGCATTTCGTGCCGCGCGAAATCTTG